CTTTGGAACGTGACTCTGACAACTAACCGATGGATTTTGGGCAAAGGCCACGGCGGCAATGTTTTAAAGACGAACGAAATACTTTTTATAAGCCCGTAACAGCAACAACAACAGCAATAAATACAAACAGCGTAGGCAAGACGCACCAGAATCTGTGTGTTCCAAAATGTTCAATCTGTAGCGTCATGGCCAAGAGGTGGCGGCTATGGCTTATGGCTTGGGAACCAAGCTCTGAAAATGTGTGCCCAAAAAATGTCGCTTGAATAAGCGCATTTTTGTTGACTGCCTCGTCGGCGACTGCATGAGTTGAACAAAATTTCTCTTCGAAGTTCTAAAAAGAAACGAACCTTTGTTCACGGAACGTGTAAAATTTATGTGCATATGTCGATGCTTAGCGACTTGGCTTTTGTGCTGCTGCCCTCTAAATTATGCATTGGTCTTATTTGTATTAATACGATTTATAAATCCTTTTGCTCAAACAAACATGATAGAGACATCAGTGAGGCAATAAAACTGAAAATATCTCGCCACCGTCACTCTACAAATTGATGCTCGAAGAAAATACTTGCTTTTGTTACGGTTCCTCATTATGTTACAGTTCCAAATAAGTTAGAAATTAATTCCAAGCCGAAATCCCTACTTTCAGTTTTTTGGGAACTATCCTGGCGTTGATTTGGCGGCCGTTGAAGATTTCGAATTCAAGTTAACTTTCCAAGAACATTCCCGGCGATGTAAATATAAATGGACAGCACCTCATTTCTAAATCCCTACTCCCAGTGATTTGGGAACTATCCTGCCGTGCATTTGGCTGATTTGGTTAAAGATTGCGAATTCAAGCAAACTTTCCGACCACATATAAATTTGAATGTCACTTTGAAAATCAAATTTTCGAACCTGGGAAGGAGTCTTTAAAGCCTTTGGACGTCATAGCTAATATTTTGGAATCCGCCGTTTCATTTAGCGTCCAACGACATAAAGATCGTCAAAATCGGATGCGAGTTTGTTTTATTTTTTTGATTTTTCCCCCCACTTCCCCCCTAAGGGGATTTTTCCGTAACGGTGTTCGTATAATCGCCTATATCTATAAGACCTAGGGATATCAAATGTAAAGTCCAAGATGCCTTATGTGAATACGCAGAAATGTTTTTTGGAATTTCCCTCCCTCCCCCCTCTCCCATGCAAATCGCGATTTTCTCTAACTCCCGTAATTCTTGGAATCTCGAACTAAAATTTTGCAAATACCCCCAGTAAGTTATTATGTGTCCGTTTCACTATAATAGATCGATTTAACAAGAAGTTATAGCCATAAATATATTTGCTGCTGCAGCGCTGCCCAAGCGCTGCCCGCGGCTGTTGTTGATGTTGCTTTTTGGTTGACTGCTAACATGTTTACACAGACACGAATAGATGCAATTGCTCACACAGACGCAATTGCTATGTAAATGTGCAATTATACACCCTTTACGTGAGTTCGAATACCGAAAGAGGTAAAATCGATCCAAATATTTTTTAAATTTTCTTAATTTTTTTAATTTCTATAATTATTTTAAACATATGTACAGAGTATTTCAATGTCGGGACACCCGACTTTAGCTTTTTTACTTGTTATATATATTGATCAGGGTGACAAGTTGAGTCGATATAGCCGTGTCCGTTTGTTCGTCCGTCCGCCTATATGAAAGCAAGGATCTCAGCAAGTACAAAAGGAAGAATAACTAAACTTGGTATCCAGATTCTTCTGAACCCGAGAAAGGACGAGTTTGTTCATTTTTTCTGATGCACCATTCCCCCGCAATTCGTGTTTTTCATAAAATCCTGTTTGATCTTAATTCAGATGCAACTTATTTTTAATATTTTTTATAAAATTAAATTATAGATAGAGATTGTAATCTTTGTAGTCTTATTAATTTTTGTAAAACTGTAGATTTTGGTTCACAAAATTCTTTCGGCCTTTTCTAGCTTATAGAGCTCTACTAAGTATAAAAATCATCAAATCATACAAATCATTCCTTGTCAAGTGCGGTTGACAACAACGAAGCCAAGGAGCTCTTGTCCAGTTGACATGACGACCGCCCTAATAACAGAGGAGAGCAAGCCGAAAAGGAAACGGGGACAGAATGGTGCATTGTCAAACCCATTGCCAAGTGGGTGGAAGGCGGTCGGCAACACCCATGCACCCACACACTGACAGCCCGTTCGTCAGCCATCAGCTGACTGCATCGTTTCAGTGTGTTGGTGGCTGTCTCACAAAATTTCAACTCGTTGCACAATTTGCATAAATTCCAAGACAAAGACAAAATGCTGGCGCTGCGGAAGAAGCGAAGCACGGCCTGGCGGAAAGGAAGCATGACAGCGATGAGCGAAAATTACCAGTACTTGAGCGGAATTTTAAAATTCAGCGAAGCTAAATGAATGAATGAATGAATGAAATGAAGTGAGGCTGTTTAAAAACTGCAAAGACAATGGCTTGACATTGATTTTTAGTTTGCTTTTAGTCACTGGCATGAGTCAGCAAGCCGGATTCAGGAGAGGCAGCCACCACTTGGCAACCACAGCAACGACAGCCACAGCCACAGCTACAGCTCATGTGCAAAACAATTTCGCTTGTAAACTGCTTTCCGCTTTCATTGAGTGCACGCATAACACAAATTAAGCAAATTTATTGTGCTAGACACCGACGAAATGTGTCTACAACTAGGCCGGAGGTGGGGCATCCAGACCTGACGATGCTTCACAGAGCTTACAACATACTCGTACAGCGTAGATGGAAAAAGCTACAGATTCAGCGACAGCGACAGCGCAATAACAAATTATTTTAGCAAATTAAAAGAAATTGCCTCATCCGACAGCTTTGAGGAAAATCGTAAAGCATCCATCAACTAGTATTTTCTAGATACAGAGATGTGTTGCTCACACGTGTTTAGGACTTTTAATAGGCCCGGCATGAGTCAGCCAGGGCCATGTAAGAGGAACTCGAAATGCGCTGAGATTTCGAAAAGTTCTGCAAGTCTGCAACCGAAAGCTCTTCTTAAACAAACCAAACAATATGTATTATTGTAACTCTAAGAGAATGATATTCGGATAGCAAATCGGGATTATTTTGGTTCATATAAAAGACTCTATCTGAAATGCTTCGCTGTTTCGAAAGCGAGTATAACCCTCAAAATCAATTTGGTTTCTCCATCAGATTTTTACAAATGGACTTACATTTGTGCATTTGAAATTCAGCATTTGGGTTCTCGAACTCAATTCAATTTACATTTTGGATGGCCTGCAAATATGGGACCAATCTAATTCGATTGCTAGATAAATTAAGACACTTGCAACACTTGCTATTTTCAAACATATTTTGAAAAGAAAATCGGTTTCTCTTTTGATCTCCTCCGTGGCACATTCAATTGAAACTTGTCTTAAAGTCCCACAATCCACTTCATGCCACACTTTTTGGTTAGCCTAACAAACCCGCGAATACGTGTTATTTCAGCCAAATGAATCGATAAATCGCTTAAATCAATGATTTGCAGAGCCACTACAGCCTAATGCTGCCCTGAATTATTTTAATATTATTTCATCACTTTGTTGCTATTACTATTAATCAAATAATAATAATAGTTTATTGTTGCCCCTTGCATTTTCTTCTTCTATGTAGCATTAACATAGCCAACTACTCGCGGCATTAGAATAAGCTACTGAAGTTCTTTATTAATAGCGCGTTTAAAATGCCACAAAAATAGCAATTAGATATTCCTTTAACGTTCTTTAACCTTCGTTCGGCGTTCTTTGTAGACAAGCTGCTACTAAGGCACGTGTCTGGCTGCCAACGAGCTCATCAAACTACAACGACTACCACAACAACAACAGGAACAACAACAAACCCGTAATGGCAGCCAAATGTTTGGGGCGCAGCTAGACGGTCTACGAGGCAGGCGATGGCGTTGACGACGACAGATGTGCTTGTTGCCAAGTGAGGCATTGCCTGGGGTATATGTTGTTGTTGTTGCTGACAGGAAGCGCCACTGCGTCAGACGCCGCTGCACACGCCCACGTCAAAGACATTTGCAAAAAAAAAAAAAAAAAAAAATATTACAAATAAAATATAAAAAAAATCCTACTAGCCAAGCTGTGGTAAAAGATCCAAAGTAAACAGCGACATTGACAGTCTATGTAAGAAAGCCATTTAATATTAGAGCCGTGCCCCGATGGCCAGTTAATAGACGACGACGCTAAAGTAAACTAATCTCAAAAGTGTGCCCAGGAAAAACACGGAACAACAGCAGAACCCGAGTAAACACAGCCTACATCCGGTGGAAGAGGACAAAAACAAATGGAAAAAATGCACTCCACAAAACAAAAATTAAGAATTAAAAAAAAAAAAAAAACAGCTGAAACATATGGCAAAGATATCAAATTTAAATAAATAATAAACAGCAGGCGCTGATATCGGCGCGGCACCGGGGACTGGTTAGACACTCACCTGTCGTATCCCTATGAACAATTGATGTGGCCAAGACTCTAATGCATGCTAGCCATTTGAACAGATATTGATTGATAAAATTCTAGCGCACCTATCGCCCTTTTGCAGACAAACTAGCCCTTAAATCTTAAGTGAATTATTTAGAGAGTTTTTTTGGGAATCTTACTAGCTATTACAACGTTACACGAAGAAGAAAGATTTGTGTTAGAAAGGCCGCTTTCATTAATAATGGCAATAGACACCTTACAAACCTAATTAATTTATCTTTTAACATTTCCACTTTGCAGACCTATTTTCAAACTGTCTACTTAAGCCACGGTCATGATAGTTCAGGTACGAAAATAAAGCAAGGCCTTCAAAAGTTAACAGCCAGGAGACTTCTTGAGATTGAAAACTAACATTCAATGTAACATGAGCCTAAAGTTCTTACACTTAGAAAATTCGACAAATTTGTGTGCAAATTATTTGCCTGTCGGACCATACACTTACTGCTATGGAATGCAACTATTAGAGACTGTTTACTCACCTGTCGTATCCATGTAAAGTATCAGTATGGTAAAGACTGTCGCAAACGAGAGCAGGCACAACGTAATGGGCAATAGCTGGCGATACGGCGAGGGGTTAAAGCGCGGATCCAATTTTTTGTTTTTGCAGATCCCACTGGACGTCGGGTTACTAGAACCGCCGCCACATGCCGCCGTGTGATGTTGGTGATGATGATGCTGGTGCTGGTGCTGATGATGATGCTGGTGTTGGTGTGCAACATGACTGTGATGGTGTGGCTGGTGAAGATGCTGCCGCGTTCTCGACTCAGCCCCCAGCGCTGTTGCTCCCTTCTGACAGCAGTGCTGGTGACTGTGCTGGAACTGAATAGGCGCCCCGCGCGTGGGTGTCGACAACGGCGAGGAAACGGTGCTCGCTGAGGGCGAACTGCGGACGCTGCTCAGGTCGCTGATGGAGCCAACGCGTCCTCCAACGCCACCGCCACCGCCACCGCCTCCTCCATCCAGCTGATGGTGATTATTTGACGTCTTGTGCGTTGATGTCGTGTGCCGCTTTAAACGCTGCTGCACATGATCCGTTTCATCTACGGAGGCATCAGCGGCGGCGCTTGCTGTCGTTTCCGTGGCTTGTCGTTGTAGTTGCTGTTGTGTGATGCTTACACAGTCTTTGGTTATATTTCTAATTATCTTAGTCTCATCATCACCGTTCTCAATCTTTCCAAAGTTCACATCATCCACATCATCTTCGTCGATGGTATCGTCATCATCGACGGCCGCATAATTTGTTCGCACCGGTTGCGTTTTCCGTGTGCAGGCGGCGGCGGCGGCAGAGGATGAGGCGGACGACAAGGAGCAGTTGTCTTTGTCTGGACTGGACATTTGCCCATGGGTCGCACAATTTCTGCTCGCTGTGAACTTTTTGGGTGTGGCCTTTGTATGCCGCCTACTCGTTTCCCGTCCCGTCCCTACTGGGGTTACTGATTTCGTCGCCGGCGCGTATTGTCGACTGCAGGCCTCCAGTGGTTCCGCTGCCAGCGCTGGATGTGCTGAATAGGTCTGCTGCGACATTGCCGTCTGTGGTCTCAAGTCTTTCATTCGAAGCTTCGTTGATTTTATTCTATAATAGAGGGGGGGCTAATGCCGCGTGGCTCGCATGTTGCTGACTGCTCTGAAATGAGAAGAGAATCCAATTAGTCTTCTGCAAGTAATCATCGAAAATATGCGACTAACAAAAACTAATTTCATAAAGTGCAATGCCCCTTCGCCAAGACACACAGGGAACAACAGAACAGCAGAGGAGAGCAGAGCAGAGCAAAGCAGAGCTCAGTCCAGCCAGCAAAAGCAGCAGCAACAGCAGCATCCTTCGAGCACATACTCCATATGCCGCCCGCCACAATCTTTTGTCTGCCTCGGCTGCCTGAACTCATTTTCATTTTTATGAATAGGCAAAAATACATTCAAAAAAACTATACCCAAAAACCAAACCCAAGACCAAAAGTCGTTCGCACAAAAACTCAAACTCCAACAATTTTATGAGCTGTGTGGCTGCCTGTCGTCTGGCTGTGTGGTGTGTAGAAATAAGCACCACCTGTCAAAAATCGAGCGAGTGCCAGACGGTTGTATAAAGCCGAGACGAGCGGACAGGGGGACCAGCGGACGGACCCACAAGAAACAGGGACGGTAGGTCTTTAAGTAGTCACGGCAAGAGGCAGCGTTGGCAAAGAATTTCAACAACAACAACAACATCATACGCGCGGTATTTTGTGAACCAAATTAAAAAAGACACCGAGCTGCAGTGGCTGCGCGAGGGGGAGCGGAAGAAATGAGGGAAAAGTGCATTGCAGTCAGGCATGAGAATTATAAATGGAAAAGCATTGAAGACAGTGAGTCCAAGTCGGAGAGCTGAGCTGAAATGCTTTTGCGCCTGCGCACAACACGATCGACCAAGAAAAGGCCGGCAGAGAGAGCAAAAGAGAGACATAGAGGGACAAGGACAGGGACAGTGATAGAGTGAGGGAGTGAGACAGACACAACATGAATTGAGTTCATCAACTGGCAGCAACAGCAGATGTTTTTCCAATGTTTGGACTCATTGCTGCGGCTGTTGTTGTTTTACTTTTTTCCTTCTCTTCTTCTTCTTCTTCTTCTTGTTCTTTGCTTTATGAACCATAACGTCTTCTGGCTTGGTTCTTTTTCTACTTCTTCTGCGCTTGCGCTCCTTTGTCCTAAGGGCCAGGCTACTTCACCATCAGAGGTTGCTGCCCATGGGCGAAGCCAAAAACCATGTTCTCCTGCTTCTGCTCATCGTTGTGGTTGCTTCATTGACTTATGTATGTGGCCGCCTTGAGGCATTCGCGCATTCATTAAACATTACGCACCTACCCACACCTCCCCTGTCCTACCGAAAGCAAACTGCTTTATACCTATGTTTTGATTTGCTGGAATTTATTGAAACATATCCAACGCTCCGCGTGTCTGCAAACATGTGATTAAATGCACTGCAGTGGTTATTGTCGGTGTTCTCGGTGCATTTTAAACATTTAATTATATGGAGCCAGTGTATTTATAAAAGATACTGTTCTTGGAATGTGGCCAAGTACTGCAAAATGGCTATCTGAATGATAACCAGATGTATAGGTTCATTGGAAGAATAAAATATGTACATATGTACTTTAAATATTCTGTACAGTCAATATTTCTGTAAGAAAGACTTAAGTTATGGCCAGACAGGCAAATAATTTGAACAAGAGCTTGTTCAGCTATACCAGCACTATATGCACTGATTATTCGGATTTTTAATCAGTAACATTTACAAAAAATTTATAATTGTACAATACTTACAATACAAATAGATTTGTATTTGTAATTAGTATATCGCTTAATTTGTGGAAATAAATAAATGTTCGAAAAGTACTAAAAATATCTAATCAGATCCGTCAAGCACAAATATTAATTGTTGGAATTGGAATCACAATTTAGATACAGATTCCTTATTTCAAATTGAATGTCCTGCACTTTGTAACTAAAAATCTTATCGATTCCTAGACTTCTTAGCTTTTCGATACAATAAATAACGATATGTAGATTTGATTGCCAATAGCATGAAATGGAATTCAAATGCGGACCAGAATGCGAGCCATTTAATTTACCACAAACAGGGCAGGGAACTCTGAACAGAAAGCTCTTATACTTATGGTGAGCTATTGGACGAAGTGCGTCATTTACTGTTCTTGTTGTAGTTGTTGCTGTTGCTGATGGTGCTGCCCTGCCTATGCGGCGTTGCCTGGCGGTGGCACGGCAGGCACGGCGTGTGATTTACGGCATGTCGCAGCGCATAAAATCGATCGATTTTAAATACAAGACTAGCGCCATACAAATATGTGTGTGTCTATTTATTTAAATACATCTATGTATGTATGTATGTATGTTGCTTTACGATTTTGCCGCCGTCATTCATTGATGTTCATGTTGCTCTTGTTTTCCTTTTTATAGCCTGTACCCAAAGGGTGAAAGGCTATACTAGTTTTGTGCGCATGTATGTAACACACAGAAGGAGGCGTGGCAGACCCCACAAAGTATATATATTCTTGATCAGGATGAGAAGCCGAGTCGATATAGCCTTGTCCGTCCGTCCGTCTGTCCGTCTGTCCGTCTGTCCGTCTGTCTGTCCGTCTGTCCGTATGAACGCAAGGATCTCAGAAAGTATAAGAGCTAGAATAACCAAACTTGGTTTCCATATTCTCCTAAGACCGAGAAAGTACGAGTTTGAGTTTTTTTTCGATGCACCCCCCCACTCCCCCGCAATTCGTGTTTTTTCTTATAACTTCCGTAATTCTCGGAATTTTGAAATCAATTTTGGTAGGTACATCCAGTTAGTACTAATGTGTCCGTGTGCCAAATTTCATCATGATAGGTCAATTCTGAAGAAAGTTATAGCCATAAGTAAAATCGCTGCTCATGCGCTGCCTCTGTCGGCAGCGCTGCCCGCAGCTGTTGTTGTTGTTGCTGCTTTGGTTCAACTTTGTGCTGCATACATACACGCATATAAACACGCATAGGTACGTGATGTAAATGTATGCTGTTAAAACTAAACATAAACATATATTCTAATTTAATTTAATTAATTAATTCATTAATTGTTTTTAATAATTTAATTTTTTTTTAAATTTTTTTTTTTTAATTTTTCTTTTTTTGTGGAGAGTACAGGCTATTTTACTGTCGGGCTTGCTCGACTGTAGCGTTCTATCTTGTTTGTCTACTGCGTGTCTGCACTGCAGCAAGAAAATTTTTCACTTGGCAGGCAGCAACTTTTTGTGCGTTGACGTCTAGTCGGCGCCAAAGTCCCGCTGGTGACGCCTTAAGCGGGCTGGAGGGGAGGAGGGCTGCCCAAGTCTCATGCAAATATACAGCGCAAACAATTCAAACATTTGATGAAGACCTGCAGCTTAGTTTGTTGCCAATTGCAATTCTCTGTGTTGTGCAACATATTTTGCGCCTGGCTTCCAAGAATTTCGCGCAACAATAATAACAACACCAACAAAATAAACAACAGCTCTGCACAGACAACATGATCATGATGTTGTGGTTGCTGCTGCTGCTGCTGCTTCGGTTGTTGTTGTTGCTGCTCATCTTACATAGAAGAGGCGAACATACCTCGACAATGTTTTGCGGTTAATGATCGTGCGACGCGTTCTACGTTTAAATGTAACAACAACAACAACAATAACAACAAGAAACCCACAGGTACACAACACTTTGTCCAAGTGAGCGAGCAGCAAGCGAACGGCACAAGACATTTTGATAAACATTTACAAAAGCGCTGAAGCAGAACTCCACATCAAGCAACCGACGAACTACCAAGATGGCCAAGAGAAGGCAACCATTTAAAAAGCAGGCAGACAGGCTGGTCGTAGAATACGCTACGCTTTTAACCATATGGTTTATTTATACAACAACACCAACAACAACAGCCACAACCGCAACGTACAGGCCAAGGAAAAAATGCAGGCAACAACTGCAGGCAGCATTCGCCACTCGCCATTCGGAACTCGGCACATTGGTAACAAAGTAGCACACAATAAAAATACAATTCTGAAAACCTACAGTCAACACGAGCAATACCAACAGCAAAAACAAAGACAACAACAACAACAACATTTGAAGACCATCACAACAATACGTATATTTTGTTTGGAATTTCTGCTACGTTTTCTTCACTTGCTGTAAAGGACGATGTAGACGCTGTTGGCCATAAACGACTACTTGTATAGCTGTAGAGCTGTATAGCTGTAGAGCTGTGCACCTAATTTTGTTTTAACACGGTTTTGATTAAACACGGTAAGAAAATTTAAAACTTTATATATGGTTACCCAAGAACACTCTATTAATTGCTAAATTGTAAAACTTAAATGATACAAATAAACAAAAATTACCAAAACACGCTTTCTCAGGCAGACCTCGTTCGAGGAGTAGAGTTCTGGACAAGCGCACCCTAAAAAGCTGTTAAAATTTTACAATTGTAGAAATGGTTTTGTATGTGTTTGTACTCGCAGGCACTTATACCAGTAGTTGTCAGTACAATCCTATATACTGAGTCCTTAGTTGTGCCCTGCCCCTCGAGTCTTAAATGGCTGCACATTTTTTGAGCGCGCTAATGAAAAAATTGTCTTGGTACTGGCAATGGTCAGATGAGAAGGCAAGGTAAAAAGGCATTTTTGTAATTTATTGGCATGAGAGGTCGTAGAAGAGGAGCCAGCAGCATATGCTGAGCTGACTGTCTACAGGAACTGTGTGGTCGTCCTCATCCACAACGTCATCGGGTTATCTGCATTGTTTATCAGCACCAGCAGCGGCGACGTTTTAATTGTTTGCGCTGAAGGCGTCGTCGTTGTCCTCGTCCTCGTCTTGTAAGAGTTTCCCAGCACTTAAACGGAGCACAAAGAGAACAGTTACTTCAACAGTTTCTATTAGCACGTAACCAGCAACTGGCGGGTTGCCAAAAAAAAATGCTGGCTAGCTAGCTGAAGCGGAATCTAGGGTAAGTCGAAATTGCAAATGAGACGGCGTCTACTGCTATTTTATTGCCTTTGCATGTCGAGAATTTATTGCATCCCAAAAAATAAAAAATTAAGCAGCAGGCGGTTAGAAGCGGTTGCCAGGAGGGCCTAA